GGCGGGGGAACCTGTGGAAACCAGCTCAGAAAACCACCAGGTACATCAGCACTATACCTCAAAGGAATCTCCCAGTGCATTAGCAGAAATGAGGAAGGCAGCATTGCAAGGGGCCCCAGACAGATAAACATCCTGCAGCACCCATCTAAAAGGAACTGAAGAAAGCTAAAAGAAAGGAAAAGCAGGCTACCTAGAACTGCCTGAAAGTTCCAGCCTTGCTGATTCCAGCCCAACACGAGGTAAGCTGCCAGAACCCTACAACCTCCAATTGCCAACAAAAGAGGCCCCAGCACACAAAGCCAGTGACCAAGACCTAGGCTCCCAACACAAGAAGCTTAGGTCAGTGCCCTCTGTTTCCCAGCAGGAGAGCTCAATCTCTTTAAAGGCCAGGGAATAAGGAAACCATAAGTAAAAAGAAATGTACCATAGATTCATATTATGAGAAGAATGAAGAGCAAGACAGAAATTCTGAAGAGGACAACATTGTCAACAAACCCACACCTGCAACATCAAAAGGGCGTATGAACTGGTCTGAAGCCCAAAAAGCCTTCTAAGAAGAGCTTAGGAAGGATTTTAAAAGTCTAATGAGAGAGGTAGAAGAGTCCTTAAAAAATACAATTGGCCATTGGAAAAAAAAGTACACTGAAGACAACAAGCCCCTAAAAAACACAATTGGCCAATTGAAGAAGGAAGTACAAAAACTAACAGAAGAGTACACTGAAGAAAACAAGTCCCAAAAATCACAATTGGTCAACTGAAGAAGGAAGTACAAAAACTAACAAGAGAAAACAATCTGTTAAAAACCAGAACTGGACAAATAGAAACTAATGACTCCATGAGAGAGCAAGAATCAGTCAAACTGAAACAAGAAAAATGAAAAAATAGAGGAAAACGTAAAATACCTCATTGGTAACAACAACTGATCTGGAAGATCGATCCAGGACAGACAATTTAAAAATTATTGGACTACCTGAAAATCATGATGAAAAAAAGAGCCTGGACAGTATCTTTCAGGAAATCATAAAGGAAAATTGCCCCTGAAGTCCTAGAACCAGAAGGTAAAATAACCATAGAAAGAATACACTGTTCACCACCTGAAAGAGATCCCAAATTGACAATGCCTAGGAATATAATAGCAAAATTCCAAAATTACCAGAGGAAAGAGAAGGTGCTGCAAGCAGCCAGAAAGAAACAATCTAAATTTCATGGAACCACACTCAGGATTACACAGGACCTTGCAGCTTCTACATTAAAGGACATAATATTCCATAAGGCAAAGGAGCTGGGATTGCAGCCAAGGATCAACTACCCTGCAGAAATGAGCGTGATTTTTCAAGGAAGGAGATGGATATTCAACAAAATAGGGGACTTCCAAACCTTCCTGATAAAAAGATCAGAGCTCAACAAAAAATTTGATCTTCAAGTACAAGATTCAAGAAATACATAAAAAAGTAAATGGGACAGAAAGATACAATATGTTCTTAATAAGGGTGGACTGTTTACATCCTTACAAGGGAAGATGACACTTGCAACTCTTGAGAACTGTATTGTTATTACACCATGTTAAAGGAGCATACATAAAAGGGGGTGGATATTAGTTGACTTTGATGTAATGATAAAAAAAAATCTAATCAAATGGGTTAAATGGATCCAAGTAAGTGGATTAGTCTGATCTTAGAAAATGTACTGAGAAAGGAGGAGGTGAACAAGGGTAAATTACATTACAGGAAAAGACAGAAAATCCTATTACAGCAGAGGTAAAGAAGGGAGGGGGATGAGAATTGTTTGAACCTTACTCTCAAATTTGCCCTACAGGCAGTAGGAGGGAAAAGGGGAAACAAAAGGGAGGGGGGATAGAAGGGAGGGAAGAAGCAGTAAGGGTAAAGGGGAAGAAGAGGGAAAGGGATAATAGAAGGGAAGAGAGACTGAAGGAGGCAGTGGTCAAAACACCAGTGGAGGGGGAAGGAGAAAGGAGAAAGAAAAGCAGAAACAGGGGGGAAAAGGAAGGAGAAAAAGACACAGATAGTAATCATAACTGTGAATAACTATGGAAGTTGAATTGGTATCTTTTGTTTAATCTTCTGTTGAGTTTTGTTTCTTCTTTCTGATAGTTCTTCCTATTGGTTTTAATTTTTACTTACAACTTCACTAATGTGAAAATATGTTTAATAGGAATGTAAATGTATAGCCTATATCAAATTGTGCACCATCTTGGCGAAGGTGGTGGGGAGGAAGGGGGAGAAAAATTTTAAACTCAAAAGCATATGGAAGTGAATGTTGATAAATCAAAATAAATTTTTTAAAAAATTAAAAAACAAAAAGTAAGGCTAGACTACATGTCCTGAGGTCTCCTTCAGTTCTAGACAAATGATCTCATAATAAATGTAAATTCCAATATTTGGGCTCAAAAATTATCACTTGTACAAGCATAAGGGGAGGGAAGATATGGCTGGATGCTACCCACAGAAAATAACATGAAATAATAAATTATATCCAAAATAACAAATCATTCATAAAATAACAAATTACACATGAAATAAGTCTTACACAAAATAACAAACGACATATAAAATAACAAATCATACATAAAATAAAAAACAAAAACCCTAAGAGCATTAGAGTACCAGCTCCATGAATTGGCAACGCAAAAATATGGTCCAATTTCAGATCACACAAATATTTGCCTTCTGTGCATCACCAAGCAAGAGAGAGGATAGTCCTCCTCTGCTGTGCTCTGGTCGGACCACACCTGGAATGTGCCATTTGGCATTTCACCTTTTTGGGGGCCGAGCCAGAAGAGGCGAGCAGAATCTGAGAGAACTGAAACTCGCATCATCTAAGAATCAGCTGAAAGCAGGAAGGTGTGTTAAGAATATAATAATCAGGGGCAGCTAGGTGGCGCAGTGGATAGAGCACCGGCCCTGAAGTCAGTAGTACCTGAGTTCAAATCTGGCCTCAGACCAAACACTTGACACCCTTACTACCTGTGTGACCCTGGGCAAGTCACTTAACCCCCATTGCCTAAAAAAAAAAAGAAAAGAAAAGAAAAGAAAGAATATAATAATCATAATAAATATGATAATAGTCATAATAAGGGCTTATGTATAAATAGCTTTTCAAAACTTTAAAAAACTTTTCAAAGCATTATTGCATTGGATCCTTGAAACAACCCTGGAAGGTAGGTGCTATTACTATCTTCACTTTACAAGAGAGGAAACTGAGTCTTGAAACGGTTAGGTGACTTGCCCAGGGGTCACACAGCTAGTTTCTCAAGCAGAATTCATCAAATACAAATCTTCCTGACTTCCAGTCCAATATTTTATCCACTATGCAAATGTGCTTCAATAAGACTAAAGAAGGGAGAAATTAAAGGAAACAAAAGAGCTATGTGGGCCCACAGAGCAGAACTAGGAGTGAAGAAAAGAAACAGATTCAGGCGTATTACACAGAAAAACTTTCTAAAAATAAGAACTGCTCCAAGTGACTTCCCAGGGGATCATGAATTCTCTAACACCAGAGCTCTTTAAATGGAAGCCAAATAACACTTGGCCCTGGAATTATAGATTTGCCTGACACACTATTATGTATGTATTTGTACATATAAGGTAGGACTTGAACAACAGAAGAAGTTCTCAAATAATGCCTAATACTGTAATTTTATTATATCATTAATGCTACCTCACATGTACAAAATGTTTCATAGTTTTGCTCAATGGACTTTCATAAATATTATCTTTTGATTATAGTTTAACTTTCTACTTTGGCTGAATGTTGTGAAAGTTTCTCGAGGGCATCACCCCCATCTTACTTATCTTTATATCTCCCAAAGCAACTATTAAAAATAATTCATTTATAAAGCATTTTAAAGTTTACAAAGTGTTTCCCAAAGGTTCTATGAGACAAACAATAAAGATGTGATTTTCTGCATTTTACAGAAGAGGAAAAGGATACTCTGAAAGATTAAGCTATTTGTCCATATTGATGTGGCTCTTAAGCAGCAGAGACAGCTTCAAACTGAGGTCTAATGACTCATGTCCAGTACATTTTCTGTTATAATACACGCTCTCTCACCACAATGCCTTATATAGTATGCTGGTGTGGACAGCCTATTGGATTTGGAAGCAAAAGGCCCAGCTCCTCAATTTATGTCCCATCTTGAGCCTCAGTTGTTGTTGTTGAGCTGTTTCGGTCACATTCAACTCTTTGTGACCCCATTTGGGGTTCTCTTGGTAAAGATACCGGAGTGGTTTGTCATTTCCTTCCCCAGCTCATTTGACAGACGAGGAAACTAAGGCCAACAGGGTTAAGTGACTTGCCCAGGGTCACACAGCTAGGCAGTGTTCGAGGCCTGATTTGAACTCATGAAGATGAATCTTCCTGATTCTAAGCCCAGTGGTCTATCCACTGTGCCACCTAGCTGTCCAAGCCTCAGTTACCTACTCTCTCAAGTGAGGATGTGGCACTAAATGAACTTGAAATTCCCTTCCAGATTAAAATTATGATTTGTTGGAACCACACAGGTAACTAATAAATAACATTTGTTAAACTGAACTGAATCTCATTTTGTACAGAGACCTAAGCTTAGAATCTTCACTTTTGCATTCTCAGAATCACAAAAATTCTCAAAGTTGGAAGGGCCCTCAGAGACTGTCCCTACCTGACCAAGAATGCCTTCTCTATCTTCTATCCTCTGAAGACCCCTAGTGAGGACTAACTCAATACCTCCTAAGAACACCTGTTTCACTAGTGGACAGCTCCATTAGGAAGTTTCCTTAATATTTTTCCCCTGTGAATTTCTCTAATAAAATCACCCATATGAATTTTAACACACAATCTGAGATCAAAGAATCACAATATCTCCATGCTGGAAGGAAACATCAGTGATTTCTCCTAGTCTGCCATTTTCATTTTACAGATGAGATCACATGGGTAGTAAGAGGCCAATCAAGTGACGGTTCCTTCTTAAAATCCACTGCCTCTTCCAAGGCACTGTTACTCACTTGAAGTGATATACTCAGGAGCTTTTCCGGGACTCAATGGCACAGCTTCTTCATAATAGCCTTCTGGGAGAGAAGATGTTGGTAATGGTGGAGGCCCACTGTCTGGTGGCTAAATGAGAAAAACAGAGTCTGAGATCATTATAAGGCCCAAACATAAATCAATTAAATTAGTGGAAGTTCAATATTCATGAAGGACTTGCCAATGACAAGCCCTTCCTTCCTGCCCCCCTGGGTAATACCTTGCTAATCCAGTAGATTTTTAACTGCTCTTTCAGAACTAGGACTACATTTTTTCCCTCTTTTCTTTGTATCCTCAGAACTTACCACAGTGTGTGGCACATAGTAAACACTTAAATACTTCTTGACTTAACTATGAAAGATTCACAAATTTTCTGGTGTTCTCCACCTTCCTATCAACTTTATATTACTCAGGTTTGATATTTAGACATAAAATAACAAAAAAAAAAAAAACCCAAACAACCACCTGTGAACAGTGCAGAAAACAGGATCCCAGAACTGGAAGGTAATTTTAGAGATCACAGAGTTGAAAGGATGCTGAGAGACCATCTAGTTCAATCTCCTCATTTCACAGATGAAGAAAATGAGGTCCAAAGCAGGACAATGCCTTGCCAATGCCATGGTCAAATGGGTAAAAAGTGAGGGCCAACATTTAGACTTGGGTTTCCTAGCCCCAAACCTAATGAGCTTTATGCCAATAATGAACCTCTTGCTTCTCTAAGAGCAATGATATAGAATAAAGAAGGGGATTGGATGGCACTGCCAGCTGTCTAGTCCTCTGGCCATCCCAGCAAACTTCAGAGGGAGACAAGGCAGTGGCTAGAGGCTGGGAGATCTATTGGGAACCGCTTAGAAAATGGCAAAGAGAACCTACCAATCCAGTATTCTTTATCTAGATAACAACAGCAACCACACAAATGTTGCAGTCTCTTAATTGTTTATAAAGCCTGTTGGTGATGGTTTCCCTCGTACCCCAACTCCACCCCTAAGATGACCTTGTGGGGACAGGTAGTTTAAGTATTATTATCCATTTTTCATTAATTTTTTTTCCAAAAAAGAGAAATCATTACCTCCTCCTACAAACCTCTTCTGAGACACTGAAATTCTTGTGGCCAAGAAATCCTTTTACAGTGGTCCACGTCCCTGCTGGAAGTGCAGCCTACCACTCAGTTTCCTTATTTAGAGCAGGAATAACTCACTGTCTGCCACTGCATGAAATTTTTTCCTAGAGTTGGAGATAGCAAGCTCCCTTCCACCCCAATCTTCTATTCCCCAGGCTGTACATACCTCTGATTCCTCTGGACTTTCCTCACAGGGCTCCTCTCCCAGTCCTTTAATCACCATGTTTTTCTCCTCTGGCCTAACTCCAAACCATCCACATCTCCCTCAAATTAAGTCCAAAATGGTACACAATATGCTATGGTCAGCATCAGGGAGACTCCTATTAAATATTCTTGCTTATACATCAGGGAAGGCATAGGGTTCAAGTGATACTAATTTTCACAGCATTTGAAGATTTATTACATAATTCCCTCATGACAACCCTTTGAGGCAGATAGTACAAGAGTTATCTCCCTTTAACAGATGAGGAAACTGAGGCCCAGAGGAATTAAGGTGCCAAATGTCATATAGCTAGTAATAATAATAAAAAACAACAATAATAGCAGCTAACCTTTATGTTGTTGTTGTTGAGTCATTTTCAGCCATGTCTGACTCTTCGTTATCCCATTTGGGGTTTTCTTGGCAAAACTGGAGTGGTTTGCCATTTGTTTCTCCAGCTCATTTGGCAGATAAGGAAACTGAGGCAGACAGGGTTAAGTGACTTGCCCAGGGTCACACAGCTAGTAAGTGTCTGAAGCCAGATTTAAATTCAGGAAGATAAGTCTTCCTGATTCTAATCCCAGCACTCTATCCACTGCACCACCTTGCTTCCCAACTAATATTTATTTAACACTTATTATGTATCAGGTACTGTGCTTTACAATTATTTACAGTTATTATCTGATTTAATCCTCACAACAAGCCTGGGGGGTAGGTGCTATTATCATCCTCATGTTACAAACAAGGAAACTTGGGCAAATACATGTTAAGTGACCTGCCCAGTAAGGGTCATAGCTGGGATTGGAACCCAATCTCTTCATTCCAAAAGTACTACCCTTTCCATTATGCCAGAATGAATCCCTAATTCAATTAATGAGAAGGAATAACCTTTCACCACTTTTGGAATTGAGATAGCCCAATTCTTCACATGAATAGATAGTTTTATGAATAGGATTCATACAAATGATGATGATGATGATGATGATAATGATTAAAAACTAGCATTATTAAAATGCTTTAAGGATGGCAAAGCACATTATTTCATTTAATCCTATAACAATACTAGGAGGTAGATGCTATTATTATCCCCATTTTACAGATGAGGAAACTGAGGCAGCCAGCGATTAAGTAAGTGTCTAATAAGTGTCTCAGACCAGATTTGACTTCAAGTGTTCCCGACTCCAGTGCTCAATACATTGCACCTATAATGATGACCTACTGTGTTCAATGCACTCTGCTAGGCACTATGGGAGGATAGAAAGATAAATGAGACACAGTGCCTGCTCAAATGGGACTTTGCTGACAGCTCTTCAGGATTTGGAAGATGTGGCAGAGAAGAGGATTTGATCTGCTATGTGGCAGAGAAGAGGATTTGATCTGCTACCAATGAGCTCATGAGATCTATATCATGTGAGGTTAAGCACTGATTGGATGACCACTGCTCTGAGTGGGAAGATAATGTCTCAAGTCCCTTCTAATGCTAAGATTCTATGACTCCCAAGATACTTATAATCTAATTAAGTGGTTAAATAGTGTGACTTGCGGGGGCTGCTAGATGGCGCAGTGGATAGAGCACCAGCCCTGAAGTCAAGAGGACCTGAGTTCAAATCCGGCCTCAGACCAAACACTTGACACTTACTAGCTGTGTGACCCTGGGCAAGTCACTTAAGCCCAACTGCCAAAAAAAAAAAGTTTAAAAAAAATAGTGTGCTTGAGGGATACTGCTTTATCTCATTTGATGCTTACAACAAAACTAAGAGGTAGGATACTATCATTTTATCGTTCCCATTTGACAGATGAGGAAAGCAAGACTGAGAGAGAAAGGAATCACATCTAGGATCACAAACCTAATAAATGGAAGCACTAAGATCTGAACTCAGGCCTTCAGATTAGAAATTAGGAATCACCAAGCACTGCAATCTATCACATCATTAGAGTCACTATGATGATGGTACTGTGGGGTCCCTTCCATCTCTAATCTTCCTTTTCCGTTTTCTTCTGTAACCTTAGACATGAACTCATCTGTGTTCACCCACTGAACCCTGTGCTTGAATTTATCATTAGTGTGTTTTCCTTGGCTAAGCATATGAAACAAAAACCAATCATATTTTTTTCTTGAATTTGACCATAGGGTTCTTAATCACTTAAAGAAAAATAGAGGTTTAGTTTTGAGAGGATTTTTGCAAGAAAAGTCTGACCTTTTCCTTTCCTTTGGTCCAGACAGAATGGAGACAAATGACAAAGCACAAATTACTAAATTACCTTTGTATTAACTGACAGGCTTTTTTTAATGTCAAGATAATATTAAAATGGAAATTAAATGTGTTCTGCTGAAAAAAAGTTATTACTGTGTGGTGACCTCCTTTAAGGTCAACATGTGGTATGAGAGGAAGCTAGTTTCTTAAAAAATGTTTCTACTACTAGTGGTTAGTGGAGTCCTTTCTTTAATCTTAAAATGATGTTCGTGGTTTTAAAAGCCTCCTTTTCATTCACTTAGTAATCATTTATTAAGGGTCTACTGTGTGCTGAGCTCTGTGCTTGGCACCAAAGACAAAAAGAAAAAAGAAGAAAAATGAAACTATCTACCCTCAAGGAGCATACATTCTATAGGGGCCAAAGAACATGGAGAGATATGAATAAATTCAAAACATAGTCAAAGTATACAAAGTAGTTTCTAGGGAAGGGAGAGGGACGTAGTGATTGGGATTGGGAAATAAATCAGAAATGAATGTTCCACAATTGTCTCCCATTTCTAGATCAAAGAGGCATGTTTCATCATCCTTTGCCTAGATTATAGCAAAGCATTCCAAAATCCCATGCTATTCTTGTTGACAAAGTAGAAAGATGTAATCTAAACAGCAGTCAAATTAAGTAAATTAGCATTTAGTTAGGTGTGGCTCCAAAGAGCAGTTACTGATGGATCAATATCAACTTGGGAAGGGGGTCTCTAGCTGAGTGACCCAGGGGTGCATCCCTGTCCTCTATTGTTTGGTATTTTTGTCAATCACTTGGCTGCAAGTATAGACTGGTATATTTTCCCAGGTTTATATATTTCACAGGGCTGGGAAGGATATTATTATGCTGAATTACAAAATTGGGAAGTAAAAAAGATCTTCAGGTTAGAAGTTTGTGCCAAGTTGAATAAGATAAAATTGAATAGAGATAAATATGGTCATTGAGATAAATGTAAAATTTAACAGTTGGGTTCAAGACATTAACTTCACAAGTGCAAAATGATCAGGTGATGGATTAGGTGAAACTAGAAGAGATTTTGGACTGAATGAGACTAGACAAAAATTCATTTGCAAAGGATCCAGGGGTTTCAATGGGCTGGGAGTTTCACATGAGTCAAAAGTGTGTTATAACAATCCAAAAAGCTAAAGCAATTCAGGGCTGCATTAATAGAGTTAGCGTCCAGGAATAGGGAGGATGAATACTATATTCTGGTCAGACTAAATCTAGTGCTTTGGGTTCAGTTCTAAGTCCCAAATTTTGGAAAAGTCTTTGAAACCATCCACAAGAGGGTGACCAGGATGACAAATGACCTTGTGATCATGTCATATGAGGACTAGTTGAAAGAATTGGGAATGTTCCACATAGAGAAGATGAGATTTGAAAGGTAAGATAGTTTTCCTATGGCTGAGATGAGACTAGATTAAATTAGACTAAGGGGAAAACTACAAGTAATGGGTAGAGGTGGCAAAGAATCTAGTAGTAGGCATATACACCAAGGAGGACATTGATAAAAATTGGAAAAAAGTCACCCCATAT